CAAAGACCCTTTTTCGAAATCACTCTTCAGATGACTAATGAGTTATTGACCTTCCATAATGTAATGGTAAGTCTCATCAATAGCTATAGAATAAATGCAATTATTCAATTATCTATTCAATGGATGTAACCTCAGTTTGTACTTTACGAACAAGGTGAGCTTTCGCTACTGACTTACTCTCGTAGCCAGTCTGGTGCTTGAATTCTTCGCACCTGCTTCTGGAAATATTCGGCATGCCTTCGAAGACAGCCTGTGAAATTGTGACTACCTTTCCGGAACCAGCCGAATCCATGTAGGGCGTAGAGATCGTAATCTTGTCAGGACTAGCTATGGTTCGCCAATACCAAGGTCTTTTCGTCGGGTCATACATGCTCTCAGAGCGATGACCAGGATACGAGCGAAAAACTCCCGATCGCATTCCAATATAAGTCCATCGCACCTGGTAAGATAAAGAAGGGATTGCCAAAAAACGAAGAACAAAAATTGGAGTGAACGAAGTGATTCTTATTTTGCCATATAATCGTTCTATAGTATGATTGAGCAATGTGCCGGCGAATTTTAATGCCACTTCATTTGAAGTAGCATCTTGTAAATGTATACATGATGGATGGATTTATAACATCCGAGCATATGTAAGTGCATTTATGCTCGCGTAGGGTATACTGTGTTGGTGCGTGTAATGCATACTATTTAGGTTGGTGTAAGGGATAGGGTATGTACGTATGTGTGATCGATAGCTAATAGAACCCAAAAGGTCATAAATCTCCTAAAATGCCTTATAATAGACATTCTAATTATTCTTCAAACACTAATAATGGCTTATAATAAACTTATAAATTTAGCTAGTCATGGTTTAAAAAAACTTGGATTTATTTCAGCTATCGTTCATACTTTCGTTTAGAGTAACTGGGCGGATTATGTTTTTTCTAATGTCCCTTTTTGGTAGCCTTTCTTAGCTCCTGTTATCTTTCTTTCTACAATTCTTTTGGGTAAAAATCAATCTATATCTCTTGGTTGACAATGAGCCTGCGCTTTACATTTTATTTTATTCCATCATTAAGATGTCTTGACTCAAAACTAATATGCTTAACTTAACTTTTGATCTCTCAGCAGCAAGCAAGCACAAACCTATTCTCCATTCACATTATCACCCTAAACGAAATAAGATGAATACATCTCATATATATTCTCCATTGTCTCACTCTTAGTCTATCACCTGCTGATATGTTTTTCTAGTCTTCTAGCATCTCATCTAGTATATCACTACATCTTCGCTGATGTTTAGTCTACACATAGTAACGACTTGACTTATGCGAAATAATAAATGATCATAATCTTACGCTTGAGTTAACCTTACTTGCCTCCTAGGAAAGGATTATGGCTTGAACAGAGCTTTTTTATTCAGATATCATTTTAATATTTAGGAGCCAATCTATTAGACTCTACATTTATTGGAGCATTTGGCTACACACAACTAGATTACTGGCATCTGTCGAAGTCGCAGTGAAATAGGTAACAATTGGGAATACTTTTGCAAGTATGGAGCATTTTATGTAAGAGCTGCATCCACCCAATTTAGATTAAGGTAAAAAACAGGTAGTTGAATTTTTCAACAATGATATGAGTAGGCCTCAAGTTCCAATGAATTTCACTTAGCCTTGCTTCCCAAAATGCATTATTATACAGGGCGGACGGCAATTTGGCCTCGTTTAGGTCTTATCTGCTCTTCCAGCGTGACTAGCACCCGGGTTGTGACAGTGCAGTGTAACCACTACACCACACTTCCACGAGTACTTTTGGGTCAAACCTGTATTTGCAATGTCAACCGACCTTAAACGAAATACATTGAGTGCAGTTATTATCTCAGATCTACTTGTAGTCCAGTAAACCTACCTATAAACCTAAAATATAGAAACTTTTTCATCTGATACGGGGGTTAATTAAAGATAGGTAAGGGTGTGAATAAACTTACGAAAATACAAGGTATGAAGACTAAGATGGTATGGCTTTTTGTATAGTCACAGTCTCCTTTCGTTTTATAGAAGTTGTTGACCTTGCCTTCGCAACTTGGTCGTATTAATAAGAAGACCTAGAGGAATGCACCTAGTTCGAAGTATGCATGCTACTTTCCAGAGTCGGACCGTGGACGTGGGACATTCTCAGACGTTTCGCCGGCATCGTCCGTGAGCATTGCCAGTCTTAGCACCACACTACGACTTGGCAAAGAGACAAGGGAAGCCGATCACTTGACAAATTGTCTGCTAAACAATCGTTGTATATCTTCTTCCACCCTGGGCTAATCACCAATCCTTTATCCTCGTAGCACTCCTTCATTATCACAATTTTCTACTTGTATATTTAAGTGTGGTATAGTGAGTCCTTTTGAGCGGATTTTATGAGAACTCTCCACACCCCACACTTGATAAATAGGATCTCCATAAAAAGCTGAAATAGTATACTTTTATAATTCTATTTATGAGCTTTTTATTACTCTCACGCTAGATTAGCGCAAATAAGAAATAATCTTAACTATGCTCAGTGACGATGCCGGTGAAACGTTTGGGAATGTATCACGTCCACGGTCTGACTGGAAATTATCATGCATACTATGGACTTCGGACTAGGTGCGTTCCTCTAGGTATTCCTACTGATATGAACAAGTTGCGAAAACAAGGTAAAATATTTCTATTCAGAAAATACAATCTCGTAAGGAGTGTAAGACAGGACATACAAGTGATATTAATAAGCTTATTCCATACAAATTGATAAAAGCCTTCTAATACCACTGAGGGATAGAGAATGGCTTGTTGGGGCCGAGTTTAATCATGATCGTGAGAGGGGATATGCGGCGCAGCCGATACAAAGTAATGTGAAATCCTACGACTTGTACAAAGAAAAATAGCCTATGTCGACTTGAAATAAATAACTAAAGCTCGAATGGATTGAAGCATGAAAAGAAAGATCTCGAGTGTTGGCGTTAGGATAGTATAGCTATCCAAACATTTGGATCTGTGCTAAAAACCTCTTGTTTTCAATGACTTGGCCCTCCATTTCCTTGCTAGTCTATCAATCACTTTTACTTGTATTCTTGAATGTGGCTTTACGAAGTTAGTGGTAAATAGCCCAAGCTCTTAGATTAAACTTGAACATTGCATAAGATAGTGTATCTGATTAACTACGGGATATCAACTCATCTCAACTTAAGGGGCGAATCTCTTGCTGTCCTTCGAATCCTTAAATGATACCAACCTTGTCGATAAGGTGTAGTCTTCTAAATCTGCACACCTCATATCATTCCATAATACTGGGCCATCTGAATGCTATATAGAAATATGAATGAATACATTTTCTCTATAAACAGAAAGGAAGACGAACGTGCCTGTTTAATCCACTCAAAATTACGAGCTTTCCAGGTATCCTCAATCGGCCGCGTTACCATCACATAGGCTCGAGTGCCGCTTTCATAAATTGCTTCAAAGTGGTCACATCCCGGATCCATGTATTCATAAGCAAATTGAGTGTCTCTGACACGTTTGGGAGTCACTCCTCCTCCTTGATCACGTTTCCAAAGCTGTCTGCGTCGCTTTTTTAGTCCTTTCTGCCTGTGCGGATTCATGTAATTGTGTGCATCTAGTGTCCTTTGGGCAAGGTCATCGTTAAAGAAGTAGCGGGCTGGATCACAGTAACATTGAGGTGCAAAGAAGACACTAGAGTGCACCTGAGTGATTCGCAAATTCGTGTAGCCGGTCTCGTTGAAGCGGACACTCAATTGTTTGAAATGATTGGGGAACTCGCGGCGCAACTTGTCGCTATTGTATTCAACCAGCAGGTTGAAGAAACTCTCCTTTGCTTGAGTATCTTGGCCTAAATCCGGTTCCTCCAGTCTGCGATGCACCCTGGAATTAAGTGACGGAGATAGATTTTGGAAGAATAAGCAGAAATTACTTCGTTGCAAGTTACCGCATTGGTTGGGTTGATTTTTTTAATTTTTTTACAATTCCGGGATCATTTATATTATTACCATTCTGAATAGCATTACTACAAGCTAGCTTTATACTATATATTAATCCAACTTCAATTAGTTAATGTTTTCCCACACTCGGCTTTAAGATGCCGTTAAGTTTCACTTAACCGAGTCTCCCAAAATCTCGTCCAAAATGGACTAAAGCTTCGTCCTCGCGTAGGCCTCATCAACACCCCAATGGAATTCGATACCGAGCTATGAGTATCGTCTCGAGGTCAGCACTCCACTCCACTACGAAGCCACAAGGGAAATGTAACATTAAAGACAAGCCAGATCTCAACAACTGTGTGTAAGGAAACACATGTCGCGATGGCAATTTACGACGTTAATTATGTTTGAGATTTTCAATAAACCTTTAAGAATTACCGATTATTTCAAAAATAAGCTTAAACAGAAAATGATTTGAAAAGAGCCGAGTCATTCACCAACCATTAAGATTTAATGACAAAAGGCAAAGAATGACCTATTGTGGCATGACCTTCCTTTTCGTAGGAAAAGTTGGTTGGAAGGAATTCGTGATGTGGCCCCAGTGGAAAACGAAGAAGGAAGACTGTTGAATTATTCGAAGAAGTCCTCAGCTCACTGTCCTGCTACCCCGAAGAAACTCGCCTGTCTTCGTCTGTATTGTGACAAACATCATCACTACAGGAATCAATACTTCACGAAATGGAGCAAAAATATACTAAGCCAAGAGAACAGGTAGTCGGCTGCAACCCCAATCACTTTTATATACGCATAATCTTGAATCTTATTGAGGGATCCCATGATTTGCTTGGCTAACTCAATTTTACTTTACATTCTTGATGATGAGCGAAATTAAATTATGAACCAGAAGTGGATTCAGTGGCATAGAGATGCCACTAGCGTACGATCATCTAATGTCTACTCATCATTATGTATGAGCTAATGTCTATCGTGTGTATGTAATTTTAATGTCATGAGAGGTCTTAGCTAGACTCAAGGCTTATTCAGCCTTCTTTTGCTCAGTGGTTCTTCTTGCTCTCCCTATCTCCCTCTCCTTAAACCTATCCAATATCAATAAATTGTTACTACTCAATTTCCTACACTCGTTTCTCCTATTCAGGGTATCGGCTGTTCTTTAATTTAGAAAGACTACCTAATTTTATGCTGATGGGAAGTTTCTCTAATTAGCAAATTTTTTTTGTTTTTGATTAGCATATTGAGTGATCTGTAATAGCCATTTGTTCAGCGTGGTCATAATTTTGGACCCATACATCTTTATAAGCGTTTTATGTTTAAACTCATTCCTACATAGACATGCACACAAAAAGGTGTACCAGCCTGATATAGAAAGAGGATCCAAAAATTCTTTTAAAGAAGGAACCACTTAAGAAGGTGTTAATCTTCCTGTATACATTGTTCTGATGTTGCACATCCCCATTATGTCAGCCAACTATTTTGCATGCTGACAAGGCAAAATAAGAGACTCAGTAGAATGAGCTAATTATATATTACGATCCAAAAAACAACTAATCCACATTTTTTTAAATGAGTATTGAAATGTGATTGTCAATTAATCCTAATGAATACTTGTTTTGAGACAGTATATGCCTCAATTTGCCGATTACCTAGTACATATGGTTAAAGACTGCTAGACGCAGACTCCTTAGTATAATTGGTTTAAAAACAACAAATTTAACATTGTAGATATGAAGGGAAACTAGGTTTCGATTAATCTCTTGATATAATATTATTAGGGGGACTTTCAGTTCGCATGAAAGTGAATGAAGAAGATATTCATTGGTCGATCTCACCAGATGAGGACGGTTAAATCTCGTTATACTGCAACCGTTTGGCTTTTATAAAATATTCATGTTCACGCAGTCCACGCAGTCTTACTCCTCATATAAACTCAATTGAGCCAAATGAAAATTGAAAACCTAGATAGATCAATATAGAGTGGTTTGGTTAATTTTCTTTCATACTGGTCCAGTTATTTTTGCTCGATTGTATGAGTATGTGTATTTGTGAGTGTTTGCGTCTAAGTTTTATTATCAGGTTCTGATCCTCAAGACCTAATGACCCAAGAGAAAACCTGACTGAGACTGCGTACGTCCGTAAACAAGTATGGTTGAGATAAGTAGATATGAGCTTGTAAGCATGAAAATCAAGTTATAAAACCATTTTTCCTAATCTTTCAGTCTAGAGTCATTAACATTAAACGCTCCAAGGAAAGGCAAGACTAGGGTTGCGTAATCTTACATGTCTGGTTTGTTTGATGAGCTTACTCTAACACTCTAGACGAATGTGAGTAAAATTAGAACTATCACTGAGCAGAAAAATTGAGTCGCCTTTTTCTGGACGGCGGTTCAACTGCCTCTCTCACTTTCCTGTCCTGTAGATACAGACTCAAACGCTTATCGAGCACGGTCCTCACTGCAGGGAAGTCCGACGCCTCTAATCGTAGTAGTAAAGGAGGTAAGGAATGGCATACGTGAATGTGGAGCAGCTTAAGAGACATGTGTTTGAAATCCAGGAGGACAGCGGATAGGTTGGAGATGCGACGCTACTACAATGAGAGGCTACAGGTTTTAGGTGACATGTGTC